CTGCAACAACGCTCTGCAGAAGAGGTTTGGTCCTTGATAAGAGCCGATCCTCTGTTGGAAAACATTAACAGGGGCTCTCACACCGCTGGGTCTGGTCCATCTCCTGTTGCTCCTGTGGTCCAAATGGGCAAGGAGTACAGGATTAACCACTCTCCCCATCTCCACTCCCCATCCAACAACCCAACGGTTGGTTTTCGGCGCACACACAGCAGCTCAGCGCCGTTTCACCAGCACAAGCCGTGCGTTCAGGCTTGCAACAAGCCCAGGTCCAAGGAAACCAGACATAATGCGTTTGATCTCCGCTAATCCCATCGGTGAGTCAGGCAGTACTCACCAGCTTAGTGGTTTGGAAGTTTACTCATTTCAGAGGGAAGAGGAAACCACTTAATCATTGCCCCATTTGAGAAAGAAAGTGTTCAGCATCCAATGCCAAGTATCTTCAGAACTCCTTGTTGTGCAGACAAAGCAGCTCGAGAGTCCCTGGGAGCTGAGGAGCCACAGAGGCACTGGCTATGGGCTGGTCCCAAATCCTCCTTGGGTGACCACGGGTCTCTGTTGCACCCTCTCTCAGCCTGAGTTTAAGGCACTGATATCCCAGGCTGAAAGCCCTGGATGGGTCCTCGCTCAATTAGGGAGACACGGGAAAAGGAACCATTGGGATTTCTGCCTCTTTAGCCAAGGCATTAAAACAAATACACGTAAATCGTTCATTTGTGTTAAACTCGATGCTGGACTCCAGCGAAGCCAGGAGGTCGCAGGCAGACAGCGCTGGTATCTGGCGTGCCAGGCCCCCTCCCGCACAGGGCAAAAGGGTGATAACATGGAAATGTTTGTTCTGCCTGCGAGCAGATAACAACTCTTCGGGCATCACTTCAAAGCCAAACTTACTTAACAGCGTGAGGGGAGGGGCTGTGAAACTGAATTAAAACCTATTTACATTGCAAATAGCTCTGCTTTGTTTCCTCCCACAGCGCTCATGTGCCAAGGCATCCGTTGCACCACTTTCCCCAGCAGAACCCTCTTCCCGGCTGGGATGTGTCTCAGGCGCGCCCCACACATTATGCCCCGCTCGTTGCTGATCCGGACGATGCCCACAGGGCACCAGGTGTTTAACAGCCAGGTAGGACGGCTGGTGTTGGACCAGCACCCTGCCAACGCTGGCAACGCGCGGCCGGGCTCGACTCGGGGGTTTCCCTGAAGATCAACCGCTTCCGAAAATGTGCTCGTCAGATGGTGCCTATCTCAATTACTCAGGGTGGAGCATGAGATAGGGAAGGCCCTTCTCTGGCTTCCTTTCCCAAAAGATAAGCAGAAGGGATCAATCTTTGTTCCCTCACCTTACACACAACTGATCCCGAATACTGGAGAGGAGCTGGGTGGGATGCACAGCAGGACACGCACCTCCTGGATCCCAAACCTAAAGTACACAAACATGAACGGTTGTGAAAAGCAAGATAAAGGCCCTGCTGATCCTTCACTGGGTGCTGCACCACACATTTCAACCCCTGGCACCAAAACCCTTCTGCTGGGATGCAGCGTTTTGTCTTCTGCAGGAACCCAATTCTGAGCTGAGTGGATGCGGACGCGCGAGGCCAGAGCCACGGTAAACACTTTGCGAGAGAGTATATCTTCAACGTGCTGCAATCTGAAAAACTAAGGAGATGTTTCCATACGAGACCACACAGGAAATTTGAATTTTCTCAATATCTCCGCTTCTGTGAAAAACAGCCTGGTTTAAGGAGCTATGACTAAGCAGGCCGAGAAAATGAGAAAGCCCAATAGCTTTTCCTTCTTCCAGAAAAACAAACAAACACCGAAAGCAACAGAAACCGATGAGAACTCCTGTAGCAGCTTATCACAGCGAGACGATCTCAGCTGCTGAATGAAAAACCCAAGAGCAGATTAATAACAAGGTCTGGAGGGCAGCTGAGCACAGGGAGAAGTTTGGGGTCCCGGGCTGAGCAGAGCAGGGTACCCACACGCTTGGGGCACCCTGGGCAGGACCCCACAGCACTGGGGCACCAGTATCCAGGTGTGGTCCCAAAACAGAGATGGATAAAGATGTAAATAAGGGGGATTTTGTTCCTGAATTCAGAAAGTCTCCCGTGTGAAGCACAAAGCAGGTTCGATTGCACTGCCACCACCACGCTCTGCAGCGGCCGAGTGGCTGGCGGGGGTCCCCGTGGCCACAGAGGGGGTAGCGAGCGTC